CCTCTAGCCTTAGGGGTTAGCATACAGTGCTTATTCTACAGTGTCATACTAGGATTCCATTTTCATTTTAGCTATAGTTGTTGTTGTTGCTGTGGACTGTTGAGTCAGTTCTGACTCTTGGCGACCCTGTATAGGGTGTCAGAGAGTGGTTGGTGAGTTTGAACTGTGAGACCTTGGGGCTAGCAGTCCAATGCTTGTCCTAAAGCGCCATGTTGAAAATTATCTTGAAGACCTATCATTTTATAATTGGAACACTTCCCATCCTAGGCTGTTCTGGGCATTGTGTCATCTTTTCAGTCATTGCAACCTCAGCATCACCCAGAGCTCTGCTACGTGATGTAACTGACCTGGGAACTAGGATGGACGAATGGAGGGAGACAGAGGGCTGGAAGAGAGAACACAGTCACCAGAACTGTCAGGGCTGTCACCCTCTGCTCCCCCAGGTTCACTGGTGGGAGAAGTGGCTGTTTTCACAAAAGTGAAACGTCAGAGGCTGTATGATCAATTCTGGGGACTAGCAGGTACACAAATTCCAACTTAGAATGAAAAAGTGGACTATCTTATGGCTCTCCCAAGTTTTCACAACCACTCCAAGTCAGCTTGTAAATGAGAACAACAATGCTGAGATGAATTTTAGACAGGGAGAAAGCAAACTAATGTTCTTTATACTTGAAATCTTTTTACATAACAGACTGATTTGTTACGGAAATTTGGGGGATATGACAGTTAAACAAGAGAATGACTTCTATTGGGGTAAGGAAGGACTCTTTTTGTCTTTATTTAATGCCAGGGGAGACAAAATCTCGAATCCAAAATTTCTGAAGGAGAGAAAAAATAATTTTGATGGTGGTGGTGGTGGTGGTTGTATGCTGTGTTGTCGAGAAGGTTCCAACCCATATCTAACCTGTATAGGGTCTCTGATAGTGTAGTGGTTATGAATCGGGCTGCTAATCTCATGGTTAGCAGTTCGAAACTACCAGCTGTTCTACAGGAGAAAGATGAGGCTTTCTATTCCTGTAAAGATTTACAGTCTCAGAAACCCTGTACAGGATGGCTATGTCTATGAGTCGGAACCGACTCCACAGCACATAATAACAACATAGGGTTTCTCAGTCCGTAAATCTTAAGGGAGAAGAAAGTCTCATCTTTCTGCTGAGGAGTGACTGGGAGATTTGAACTCCTGATTTTGGGATTAGCAGCCCAGCTCATAATCCACTAAGCAACCAGGGCTCCTATATACCATGATAATGTCTAAAAAATAGAAATTTCTAAACTGTCCCTAAAAATGCTTTGTTGTTGTTGTTAATCAGTGGTTTACAGGGTTTTAAATGGAAAGATTTGGGCTAAGGAGGGAAGGGAGGCGTTTACCCCAATAGAAATCTTTCCCTGGCAAAAAAAATCAGGAAATACTGTAGTGATTTTGATGATTACTTTTAGCAAAACGTGAGCAATACTGGGAAATTTAAAGGTTAGGCAACATTCTGTTAATATTAAGCAACTGCTTACTCCTGTTTTTAACTATGAATTTTTGCTTGTGGTATATCAGTTAACAACAACAACAACAACAACATATCAGTTTAAACTACCTTCAATGAGTAACCAACCAATGGACCTTTCAAAGTAGCAGAAATATAAAACTGGATTTTAAAACTCAATTAATTAGTAGAACTAAATCACCTTTGACTAGAAAGGATAATATAAACTTCTGAAAACACCCTGCCGTTTTTTACTGTCCTCCCAGGATGGTGGTGGTGGTAGTTATGTGCCATGGAGTCGGTTCCGACTCATAACGACCCTGTACAGAGTTTCCGAGGCTGTAAATCTTTACCGGAGCGGAAAGCCTCATCTTTCTCCCACGGAAAAGCTGGTAGTTTTGAACTGCCGACCTTAGGTTCGCAGCCCGATTTGTAAGCACTACGGTAGACACCAACAGTAAGGGTCTTCCACCAATTTAATGTCCTCCCCACTTGAACCACCCCACATGAAGGGAGACAGACACAGAAAGGTCCATTAGCTTGAAAATAAAATGAACAACTCCAGTGGGAACAAAATTACCTAAACCCTAATCGATTCAGGCATTTTCTAAAGATAATCTACGGAGCTTTTCATGCCTGTTTCCCAATGCGGTCCCCTTTAGGTTCCTGCCCACACAGCCCCCTCCCCTGAAACCCACATCTCCTTGCTGCACTGGAAGCCGTGTGTCTCTGGAGAGTTTGGATCCATTGATTTCCTCACTCAGACTGCCTCTTCCCCACAGGACTGTTGGAACAGATGCTTACTTTTTCTTTCTGCCCTCTCTGGGGAGGCCTTTTCATGAGCAGGCAGAGAGAAAGAAGAGGAAATGCGTTAAAGATGACCTCGGCCTAGCACATATCAAAATAAGCGAAGTTAAACAATATATGGCCCAGTTAACCCATAGCTGTTGTTTGATCGCCAATACAGAACGACAAAAAGCTCTGAGATTTTTAGGCAGCTGCTCCCAATGTCAGGCTCTCTATGCTTGTGAATACATATCTGACCCTCTCCTGGCTGCTTCCAGAGCATAATCCAGAGCTAAACTTTCAGCCCAGGCTTGGTCAAGGTGGTTGTGGTTATGTGTCGTGAGTCGGTTGCGACTCAAAGCGACCCTGTACAGGGTTTCCTAGACTGTAAATCTTTACGGGAGCAGAAAGCCTCATCTTTCTCCCGCGGAACAGCTCATATAGTTTCGAACTGTTGACCTTGAGGTTCACAGCCCGATTCGTAACCACTATGCTACCAGCCCAGGCTTAGACACTTTCATCTCAGAGGATGTCGACTTCGAAATGCAGAGAGGGTCATCCCACCCAGTTCAGTCCTCATCAGGGCAAACAGGAGGTTGCTGCAGACCTGGGGAGGGAACGTGTGCACTCTGGAGACTGCCTTCAGAACACTCCTTTTCCGTTGGCCTCACCACCTGCCAGGGGACTGTCACATTACCCAGAGGCAGCCTGTCCTACCCAGAGCTACATTATTAACATTTGCCTCGATGAGCAGCTCGCCCACAGGACGACTCTAGGAATCCGTCTGGTTCCTGGCCCTCCTGGCTCTCCGAACCGGATCTTATTGGGGGGCTGGGGGAGGTGCCGCGAGAAAAGGGAATCTTAAAAACAAAACAGCGCCGCCGCCGGAAGCCCAGGGGCCACGGCCTGAGCTACTGCTCTAGGGCAGTCCCCTCCGGAAGAAAAACAAAACAAACCCAGACTCCACGTGGGGCTACAATTCAGGCCCAGACCCGACTCGAGAAGGATCCTCGTATTAGTATTAGTTCACAAGGAAAGGCGAGCGTTCAGGTTCTAGGGATGTTTTGTCTCATCTTTTCCACGAGCCTCTGGAAAGGGAGAACAGTTCTTGTTCAAACAATAGCGCGGCCAGCACACTGTGGTGGTACCACCAGTAACTGGACACAGGGATACGAGGGGCGGGCGCCGGGCGCGGGCTCCTGGCACACACAGCTCAGCGCCCGAGTTGGCTGCGGGTCCTTCCGGTGAAACCCCTTCCTGACACTTTCTCTTAATGCGCTTTGGAGATAAAGGAGGGCTCGTCTTAAGTGGAGGTGCAAAAGGTAGCCCTCATGGAAAAAAACAAAGAAAAATCAGCAAAGTCGCCTTGGTAGTTCAACCAAAGGTCAACAGCAGCATTTCCCCAGCAGCTGACAGGTCAAATGGTCAGGAAACAACTGCCGAGAACAAAGCTCCTCGCTGTTCACCAGGGGGCAAACTTATCTCGTCGGCCTAAGCAGTTTTGTTGTGCTTTTTAAGGAACGGGTTGGGGTGGGATGAGGTTTCCGTCTCCCCACCCTCATCTCCCTTCCTCTAATGTGAATGGGTCTAGTTCGGAGAGAAAAGGGAGGAGGGGGCAGGGGGTGCCTTTAGGGAAAGGAACGACTCCCTGATAGCGGAGGTCTGAACTGCCTTTCGGGTTCCGAGGTGAGATGCGGGAGAGCGCGAAAGAATGCACGGAATGCGGCAGAGGAGGAAGGGACACTGGGTGGCTGGACTCGCTCTGCTGGCTCCCCAGCGCGAGGGGCTCCTAGGGCCGCGGTTCGACCGGTTTGTGCAGGTGCGGCCGCCCGCTCGGCCGAAGTCGGCTGTATAGTCCCTCCAATTCCTTTGATACGATGCTGGTCTTTGGTGAGTTCTGACTTCTGAATTTGACGAAACATCCCTCCCCGAAAAAAGGTGACGAGTTTCTCCAGCTTTCACTTAAATCTAGCACGCGCCGCCATCGGATATTCTAGAATTGTATCTAAACAAAAGATCGGAACTCTCCGCTGTTCAGTTTTATGGGAGAGGGAAGAGGCACCATGTCCTAGTATTGCTTTCCCCATGTATTCAGTTCTATGGCCTCCCGCGATCTCGCCCAGTGGCGGGAGGAGTTGGCCACCTACCAGGAAGAGCTCAGAATTAGGCACAGGGAGAAAAGATACAAATCGCTCCATACAACGTCTGCAACCCAGTTCTTCATTTAAGGACGGCTGGTAAAAATCAAGCAAGCGTGGCCGATCCCACCTGGACGACCACCCTGCTTTCCAGCTCTCGGCTTCTCCGGGTCGGACTCAGTGCAGGGTCGGGGCAAGCTAAACGAACAGGCCTATCTTGTGGTGCTTAGGAGTACTTCTCTGTACTCACAGAGGGGCCGCACAAAGCTGTAGCTTCACCAGCGAGGCAAGAACCGTTAGTGCGTGTAAATAAACGCGGAATCGCCTGGAAGGGTGAGGGCAGGTGACTAGGGGGAACGTGCCGGTACAGCCCCTGAAGCCTTTAGAAGCTCGCACACAAGCACAGAAACACACAAAACCTTGTAAATCACGCACAAAAGAGCGCACGGGGATTCTTGCAGCCACGAGTCATTCGGAGCACTCCTTTCCCTGTCCACTAAGACGCAGATCGCCTAAGCTCCTAACACACACGTACACACACACACAAACACACACTCCAGTTCACAGCCCGCCGCGCCTGGCGCTCGGCGCCCGCGTTTACCTTTGAGCAGGCAGATGTCTGTACGCTCGGCGTTACGACGCAACGCCTGCACCACCAGTGACACGGTGCTGTCTTCCCGGAGGCTCTCGGCGCGCGGGCTGCGCTCATCGTAGACTATGACCGCCGAATAGAGGCCGGAGCGCAGGCGAGCGCGCACCTCCTCCTCGGCGGGCAGGATCTGCTCCAGGCTCACGGAGCCCTTGGCCCGCCGCCGCACGATGGTGTTGCAGCGAACATTGACCGAGCCTCGGATGTAGCCGGCGCTGTGAGCCAAGAACGGTCTGCAGTCCAGCAGCAGGCACTTGCCGCCACTCAGCAGACCCAGAGCGCCGTGGTTGCCGCTGCCTCCCGCGCCACCGCCGCTCTCGTCCCGGTTCATCAGTCTTTTGAGCACGCTGCAGTCCATCTCCTGCAGCTTTTCTACCGTCACCATGGTCGCGGGGAACCGCGGCTGCTGGGAGCCTGAGAAGCGAAGGAGATCCCGGCCGGCTTTGGTTCCTGGAACGGGCGGAGGAAATCTAAGGGATAGCTCTTACTGAAGTGGCTGCCAACTTGGTTCCCAGGGGCTACGGCGGGAGATCCTCTTCTCCCCAGTCCCCTTCCTCCCGCAGTCTCCCGGTTACATAGCAGTTCGAGCGGCCTCTGGCGCCAGGCAGGACTGCGCACGGCGCGGAGGAGGAGGTGACAGTGAAGGGGAGTGTGTTTACGAGAGAGAACCAAGGGTTCCCTACAGTAGTTGCCTCTATTGTATTGCCTGCGATGCTTGTTCTGCAGCCGCCGGCGCTGCCTTTCCGGCCGCCGTTCCCTACACGCCGTCGGAGCTTCGCGGACTGCTCCAACCAGAGTTTTCTCTTCTGCTTATAGATTTATTAAAGCTCCTCTGCTCTCCCCCGGGAGAGGTGGGGGAGAGATTCATTACTACTTCGTGAGGCCCCGCCTCTTTCCTTTCTCGGCCAGGCTTCCCCCTCCCCCCTCTGCTAGCTCCCGCCCCGGCCTCCGCCCCGCAGGCCCCTCCTCTTGCCCACTCCTCGACGCGTGAATGGAGCGCCCACCGCTTGCGCCTAGTCACGGGAACACGACGTCACAAAGAGCGGAGTAAACAGGCGACTAGGCGTTCTCCGCCAAGCCCATTCATAAATCCGCGACCTAGAGGAACTGGGAGGAGGCCTCCAACCGGCCGGCGAGCGGCTGCGCCAGGACTTTGTGAATGGAGTGCGGCGTCGCCTCCAGCCCTCCGCCCGCCCGCCCAGGCCTCCGCCGCGTGTTTCCTGCCCCTGCACGAGTCCTCTTTCAGCCAATCCACCCCGCTGTGCTGTGTTTGGCGCAAAGAAAACAGCCAAGAAACTGGCCCACCGGAGGCCAGTGGCTGGGTTTTGAGGTTCATCTATTTTTACCCCAGCGCCTCACTCTCCACCCCTGTCAACTGTGAGCTCGCCAGGTCTCCGGGTAGAAAGGCAAGGGGTACTATGCCACCCATCCTGTGAGGCCTGCAGCTCCTTGTCCCAGATTTAAGAGTTCATTCGGTGGCCAGTTGTCTTCTTAATATTTCTCAGACCTTGCGTTATGCATTAGTGTGATCGATTTTCATCTTAAGCCATTAAATCAGCTTTACAGCTTCCCGAGGAACGTGGGCAAACCCCAATTTAGAAGATGAAAGAGAAAGCTCTGCCTCCCCGAAGCCCCACGATAATAGGGGTGAGGTGTGGGGTTTGTTATTTTACGACCCGGAGGGAGGCATTAATTGGCGGGATATTGTTTAGATGAAGGAGAGCAAGTGTGCCACTCCCTTACACGCTTCCTAAAATGTTTATTTAACCCAAGTGGGCTCGGCGTGTTGGCTTTTGGGAAAGCCCTCACTCCCACCTTGCACACGTGTGAATTGTCTTCTCAGGAAATGACAGGGTGCACATTTGGTGCGGAACTAGTCTTGGAGAAATTAACGCGCGAATAATGACCTTTTTGAGATGAAGTACTTATTCAGATTCCGGTTTCTTTGCATCCCTCTTAACAGATCATGTAGATTTAGACCTCCCTTTAATCCCACCACCGGTTGTACTTGGTGGTGTTCTTGTTATGTGCCGTGAAGTCTTATGTATTTAATTTTCCCAGAGGCCGCCCTTGGCAGGGGGTTTGTGTGCACACGCGGTGGAGACCTGATAGAAGCCAAACGTCATTTGCCGGACATCTATCTTGCCAGGCCTTGTTAGTGCGAATTAACAAACGAGGCGAGGGAATTACAGGACTCCGAGACAGACGGGTCGCCGCCTCCATTCCAGGTCTTGCGTGGAAGTCCTCTTGCCCATGACCTCAGTCCTTTTCCACCTTTGTTCCCGGCAGAGCTGCTCTCTCCGCGGGTTCCCCAGCGCCACTCCACTTCCTCACTGGCCTCGGCAGGGGCCGCCACCGCCGAGACCTTCAAGCCGCGGTCTCCTCCTTTTTGCTCCCAGGCCCTGGTCTGGTCCGCGGAGCAACTTGTCCGAGAGTGTCTTTCCTTTTGCCTCGGACAACAAAATGGCCCAGTTCTGCGCTGTAGTGATCCTGCAGTGATAGTTTGCTCATTTGGGATTTTACTGTTTTTCAAAGCACTGTATTAAAATATGTATTGATTAATGACGTTTGACGCCCCTTTACATGTTGTGTCTGAGGCGAGTGCATACCCTAAGGGTTCTGATCCTGAAAGGGGTCGCGACTACCGACCCACAGAGCCAGGCTGCAAGATCTCAGGCGGCCGGGCACTCTGGCTGGGTGTGGTCAGCAGTCAAAGGCTACCTGCGTGACCTCGGTGAAAAGAGGTTTATACTCGTAGTGGTTACGAATCGGGCTGCGAATCGCAACGTCGGCAGTTCAAAACTACCAGCAGTTTCGTGGGAGAAAGTTGAGGCTTTCTGCTCCGGTAAAGATTTGCAGCCTCGGAAACCCTGTGCACGGTCACCATGAGTCCGAACGACTGCATGGTACTTAATAACAACAGGGTTAAGGGACCTCGAGGTCTCTCACCAGTATTGGGACTGTGCCTTTCAAAGGAGTCCCCAAACAAAGATGCCCTGGCCTCCACTGTCTCAGAAATCCCACCCCTGCCCGCCCCGGAGAAACATCAATTCCTTTTCAGGAGTTTTCTCGGAAAAGCATTTCAGTCCTGGTCAGACCTGGACTAATTTCACACGTGTCCCAGGTGCTGGGCCTCACTGGTCACCCTCGGTTAGTGTCTCCTTTGCCCAATGTTCACGTGGTCAGTAAATAACAGCCAAATGGAGTGGGGGTGGGGATGCCCACAGAACAAAGAGTTTTTTTCTGCACCTGACAGTAATCCTTGGGTGGCTTAGCCTGTAAATCCCGCAGACGATTCATATGGAAGGGGTGTGGGCGGGTGCTTGTGTGTGTGTATATGTGTTTGTCCACGTGCTCGCGTAGCCGAGCCTGCGCGCCCGCGCACAGCTGTCTTTAAGCCAAGAGCTACTTAGTTGAGTAAGCGAATTCTTGAGTTTTGAAGGGATTACAAGAAAACACAACACCCCCTTCCCATGAATTAGCATTCAGTTGTGTGAATTTTAGTAATCAAAATTTATATTAACTTACTGTATTTATCCTGATCCTATATAAGTTCCCTGAATAATTTTATATTGTGAGTTTGTTTTGTATTGTGAATTTGACCCGCAGTTCAATTAATACAAAGTGAGAGCTACAAGATACCGGCTATTTGTTACTGTTAAGTGCAGTTGAGTCGGTTCCGACTCATAGCGACCCCGTATAAGGTTTCCAAGGAGCGACTGGTGAGTTTGAACAGCTGACTGTGAGGTTCAAACAGACCTTGCTGTCCAGTGCTTATACTAAAGCACCGCACCAGGACCCAGATACCAGCAATAGAGATGATAAGCTTTATCTCCAATTGGTCTGCAAGTTAGAAGTGGAAAACAGTTTCCTTGGGAACTGTGGAACAGCTTGTCAATTAGATCGTGGAGAAAACAAAGATATTATTTAAATGTTATGACAAACATAGCTGCAGGAGTTGGGGTGAGATTGCCCAAAGAGAAGTATTTTATTTATATTCAGCAGTAAACTTCCTAGTGAAAATATTTAAAAAATTCATTGTAACATGTAAATCCAACCTTTTTACCATACAGTCCTTGTTGTTGTTAAGTGCCATCAGTCATAGTGACCCACTGTGACCCTGGATAGGGTTTCCAAGGAGCAGCTGGTGAGCTTGAACCACCGACCTTGCTGTTCAAACGACTTTATAATCTGACTCATTAGCCCACAGCGCCCCACCAGTCCTTAGATTGACCTTGTTAGTCACTGTCAGACTCCAGCAAAACCACTGGTCTTGTGTTAAGAACATTTCTTTCCAATTAGAATATTGTGTGATATGGGAATTTGAAGCCTAGAGTAGAATCCCCAGAGAACTATGGCTTCTATTTCTGATTTTCATGCCAACCTCTGACTCACTGCCCTTTCTCAAGATGCCTGCGTAAAAGTTGCCTAAAAATCATTAGTGAATTAATCAAGGTGATGACTGAAAGGAAGTTCCTGTAGATACCCCTTTCCTGAGCAAAGAGGAAGCCTTGCTCTTTACTTTGAACTAGAACAGGAATGAGCCATTGTATGTGTACCTGACTTCTTAGATGGGCTGATTAGGCAACTTTTCCTGATAGTAAGAATTGTTGTTGTTGTTGTTAAGTGCCGTCGAGTCGGTTTCGACCCATAGCGACCCTGAATAGGGTTTCCGAGGCTGTAAATCTTTACGGGAGCAGATCGCCTCATCTTTCTCCAGCGGAGCAGCTGGTAGTTTCGAACTGATGACCTTCCGGTTCGCAGCCCGATTCGTAACCACTAGTAAGAATTAACAAACAAAAACTGAAAGGGCATCTCATACCACTCACAGCAGAGACATCTGTGCTCACTGAGTGCGTTTTGGCAATACTTATAAATGGAATTGAAAAATGTCTGTCTTTCTCTACTCACCTCTGCCCTTTCAATGAGGACTCAAAAGATAAAACGTCTTCAACTTTAGGTGGAAGTTCACCAGAAAACTCAAAACAATAAACTGAAGGTGATTTTAGTCTTGATGTCATAGATCTGTTCAGTAGCCTCCATTTATTTTCCACACATGAGACCAGTACATGCTAGTGATTTTAAATGCTAGACTTTTTTAAACCCACATGTCTGCTCAACGGTTTTTATTGCATTACTTTGTTTACTATTTGAACTGCAAGGTCAGTGGTTCAAACTCACCAACTGCTCCTTGCTCCTTGGAAACCCTATACAGGGTCACTATGAGTCTGAACCAACTTGACAACACTTAACAACAACAACAAACGAAATCTACTCAATCTAGGTTCTGCCACCATCTAGTTTAAATGACTTTGAACAAGCAATCTCTCTGGGTCTCAATTTCTTCATCAGCAAAATGAAGAGTGTAGGCAGATCAGCTTTTCAGGTCTGGTCCATCTTCAAACCTATTTGGTTTTGAGAAAGTATTCTCTGTCAAACCCTAGGTCAAGTTTCACATGCTTTAATCTCTGCCACCCAAGGACACAAAAATGCTGCACCATAAAGGACAATTTCTAGCTCCTTTTTGTTCCTCCATTAGACTACAAACTCATAGAGAGCAAAGTTCATAATTTTTATTTCCATATTTAGTCAATTGCACTTGATAAAATTTCTTTGAGTTTTCAAAAATAAGTTTTGGAACTAAACACTTCTCCATATAAACCCAGTGCCATGAGGCTGATTCCAATTCATAGTTTCAGAGGCTGTAAATCTTTCCGAGAGCAGAAAGGCTCATTTTTCACCCCACAGGGCGGTTGGTGGGTTTGAAATGCTGACCTTGTGGTTAG